ACATTGGCTAAGTAATTGAAATGACAGACAATAGTGAGTGTTGTTGAGGAGAAATCAAAATGGTCACATATTGCTGATGAGAATGTAAAATGGACAACCTTTAAAAAACAGTTCGCAATTACTCAAAAGTTAAACAGGGCAGCCCGGGTGGCTCAGCGGTTTAGTACCTGCCTTCAGCCCAGGGCATGATCCTGGAGACCCAGGATCGAGTCCCACGTCGGGCTCCCTGCATGGAGCCTGCTTCTCCCTCTGCCTGTGTCTCTGCCTCTCTCTCTCTCTGTTTCTCATGAATAAATAAATAAAATATTTTTTAAAAAGTTAAACATAGAGTTGTCATGTGACTCAGCAATTGCCCTCCTGGGTATATATACCGAAGGGAACTGGCAATATACCTATGCACAAAAACATACACACAACTATTCAAAGAAGCATTATTGGGCGTCTGGGTGGCTCAGTCCATTAAGCATCTGCCTTCAGCTCAGGTCATGATTTCAGGGTCCTGGGATCAAGCCCCCCCATCAGGCTTCCTGCTCAACAGAGAATCTGCTTCTCCCTCTCCTCCCCTGCTCATGCTCGCTGGCTCTCATTCTCTTTCTTTTTCTCAAATAAATAAATTTAAAACAAAAACTAAAGCAACATTGCTTATGATGGCCAAAAAGTAGAAAGAACCCACGTGCTCATCAACTGAAGAATGGATAAACAAAATGTGCTGTGTGCATACAACCTGATATTATTATGTGAGAAGTATAAAGTACTGATTCACATCACAACATGGATGGACCTTGAAAATACGCTGAATGAAAGAAGGCAGATACTAAAGATGAGTGGTTGCTAGTAGACAGAATTCTCCTCTTGGAGTAATAAAAATGTTCTGGAATTAGGTAGTGGTTATTGTTGTATAAGCTTGTTAATATTGTAAAAAATCACGGAATTGTATTTCAGAAGTTGAATTTTATACCAATTCTGTCTCAATGAAAAATCAAGTGTTAATATTTTTATGTTATGAAACTGGAGTACTGGGGGACGCCTGGATGCCTTAGCAGTTGAGCATCTGCCTTTGGCTCAGGGTGTGATCACAGGATCCTGGGATCGAGTCCCGCATTGGGCTCCCTGCCTGGAGCCTGCTTCTCCCTCTGCCTATGTCTCTGCCTCTCTCCCTCTTCCTGTGTCTCTGCCTCTCCCTCTGTGTCTCTCATGAAAAAACAAATCTTAAAGAAAAAAGAAATTGGAGTACAGTTGGTATTTTGTATAGTTTAATACGCAGAAATTCAGACATAATCTTATGGCAGTCATAAATTAAAATTGGGTATGTGTGATCGAGTGATTTAGACTTTGATTTAAAATTGAAATCTTACTAAATTTACATGTATTATCAACTTATCTAAGAGAATTTTAGCATCAACTTAGAAGTTTTGAAGGTATCAAAATAATTCTCAGAGAATTTTTAAGTCCTAGATAATAAAAATATTGAGGAAAGAAAATAAACATAGAAGACAAAATTTAGCCACAAGTGTTTTCATGTGTCTGGGATAAACTATCAGCCAAGTCCCCTTAACAATAATGATTGATGTTTACTAAGAAATACGGTTGCCTGGGTGGTTCAGTTGGTGGAGCGTTCAGCTCTTGATCTTGGGGTTGTGAGTCTGAGCCCCATTTGGGCATCGGGATTACTTATAAAAATATATAAGCTGAGTTTTGAATGTGTAACTTTAATAAATTTAATATTAGTTTAAAAAGCAAAATATACCTGAAAAACCTCCCCGCTCATCCCTGCTCTCCTCCTTTGCTGAGGGAGTGGTGGCAGTTGCTGTGTGTCCTTGTGGAGATAATTAACACATGAGAATGCCCTTGGGGCGCCTGGGTGGCACATTTGATTAAGCATCTGACACGATTTCAGCTTAGGTCATGATCTCAGGGTTGTGAGATGGAGCCTCAAGCGGGACTCTGCTCAGCAGGGAGTCAGCTTGAGATTCTCTCTCTGCCCCTCCCCAGCCCTATCTTCTCTTTCTCTCTCCACCCTTCCCTCCCTTCTCTACCTTTCAAAAAAAAAAAAAAAAAGAATGCCCTTTTACTCACACTTCTTTGATATATAAATGGAAGCATAGTATACATATCTTCCTTTATGTTTTTCACTTGACAAAATCTAGATAAATACCTTTTTTTAGATTTTATTTATTTAGTCATGAGAGACAGGCAGAGGCACAGGCAGAGGGAGAAGCAGGCTCCCTGTGGGGAACCTGATGCGGGACTCGATCCCGGAACCACGGGATCACACCCTGAGCCAAAGGCAGACGCTCAACCACTGAGCCACCCAGGCATCCCAAATCCCACCATTCTTTTGAAGAAAATAATAATTACAAAGGATTCCCAGGGTTTACTCTCACTTCTTCAAAATGATCTCTACCAACAGCCAACCCTGGATGGTGGTCTGGCTGGCTCTTCCAGTGGCCAGAAGATGCCACTGTGGTCATGGCTCTCAGTGTCCCAGGAGGGCCACTTGAAAACTGGCACAAATTTTGGGAGGAGATAATAGATGTTAAGGGCCGAATTGCTTTCCCCCCCCTCCCCAAATTTGTTGCTGAACTCCTAACCTCCCAGTACTTCAGAATGTAGGAAATAGGAAATTGGGCCTTTAAAGGAGCAATTAAGTTAAAATAAGGCCATTGGGGTGCCCCCAATCCAGTCTGTCCTTAAGAGAGGAGGAAATCTGGACCCACGAGGGGACACCAGCAATGCACGTGCACAAAGGAAAGGCTATGTGAGCACACAGTGAGAAGGCGGGCTCAGAAGCCTTCATCTTGAACTTCCAGCCTTCAGAACCCTAAGAGTAATTCCTGGGTAAACCCCATCCTGTGCTATTTTGTTACAGCAGCCTGAGCAGACATATACGGGTTGTGTGATCCTCAGTGGACTCCAGGAATTTGTATTAGCCACATCATTGCCCCCCCCCCCCCCCCGATGGAAAACTCTAAAGGCAAGTACAGGCTTTTGCATCCTCAGTCTCCTCTTGCTGGACCTTACAGATCTCGCTTCTGGCTGCCGCTGCCTCCTCTCCACCAGGGCTCTCATACCACCTGGAATGTCTGCATTGGGGGCGGGGGGGGGGCACACTTAGGGCCCCAGAGGGAATGGATTTAAGATCTTGGGCTTTCAGGCAGCGCTGGTGGCCCAACGGTTTAGCGCCACCTTCAGCCCAGGGTGTGATCCTGGAGACCCGGGATCCAGTCCCACATCAGGCTCCCTGCATGGCGCCTGCTTCTCCCTCTGTCTGTGTCTCTGCCTCTTTCTATGTCCGTCATGAATAAATAAATAGAATCTTAAAAAAAAAAAAATCTTGTGCTTTCTGGCTTGCCGAAACATGTGGGATGGGGTGGCGGTACCTATTTCTCTTGGCCTCTAGGAAGAAGGAACCAGAGCTCATCATTCCCTGTTCCTTTGGATACCCTTCTCCTAGTCTCGGTGGCATCCCTCTCTTCTGGGCCCCCAGCTGCACCATCTGTCCATTTTCAGGCTCCTTTTCGGTCCGGTCTTTCACTTGATTGCTAAGTGTGCACTCTGATTACCTAAATCATCTACACTCTCCTACCCACTCAGTTCCAGCGCCAAAGCTCCGTCTCTAAGCTAATGACTAACCTAGGAGTGGTATTAGGGTAGGCAGGTCACGAATCCCTAAAGGTTCAAAGCAGTCCCACCTCCCTCTGAACAATATTGACTCATTTTGCAAAACGAGGTCACACCTTGCACACACATCCCGAATCTTAGGGTGCTGCATACACCCTCAGGGCATCAAACAAAGGCACAGTTGAAAAGACTGATGTGAAAAAAAGAAAAAGGCTGATTTGCTGTGGATGCTGAGAAAGCAAGATAAATCTTTTATAAAGCTGAGGGAGTTTTCAATACTTGGTTTTCAACAAAAGTGAAGGATAACCTAATAGATTTGTCAGCTGAATATTTAATTTAAAATGATTTTTCGGGGATCCCTGGGTGGCGCAGTGGTTTGGCGCCTGCCTTTGGCCCAGGGCGCGATCCTGGAGACCCGGGATCGAATCCCATGTCGGGCTCCCGGTGCATGGAGCCTGCTTCTCCCTCTGCCTGTGTCTCTGCCTCTCTCTCTCTCACTGTGTGCCTATCATAAATAAATAAAAAAAAAAAATTAAAAAAAAAAAAAAAGAAACCTGTAGGCTTTTAAAAAAAAAAAATAAAAAAAAAAAAATAAAATGATTTTTCGTTGGTATGCCTGGGTGGCTCAGTGGTTGAGCGCCTGCCTGTGGCCCAGGGCATGATCCTGGAGTTCCGGGATGAGTCCCATGAGCATTTGTGCTCCCTGCATGGATCCTGCTTCTCTATGTCTCTGCCTCTCTCTCTGTGTCTCTCATGAATAAGTAAATAAAATCTTAAAAAAAAATGATTTTTCGTGATCTTGTTTTGTTTTTGCACATAACTGAAGCAGGGGACTGAAGGATACTATAACAAAACTATTTTTTTTCCTGTAAAAGTTTGCAGTGGCACATAAAAATTTAAAGTGCGGTTTGACTCTGAGTGTGCACAAATACTTCAATTCATGAACCTTAAAAAAATCGATTGGGAATATTGAGATCTTCATTCTTTTATTGCAATGCTCAGGATAAAGGCAGGGCTCAGGAGTTAGCATTTGCACTAAATTGACCCATGAGAATTGCCAGGTTAACAGATGGAGGATTGAGGATTAGGATTGCAGTTCAGAGGGACAGTCCTTTTTTTTTTCTTTTTTTAAGATTATTACTTGTTTATTTGAGAGAGAGAGAAAGAGCACAAGCAGAGGAGAGAGGCAGAGGGAGAAGCAGACTCCCCGCTGAGCAGGGAGCCCTATGTGACTTGATTTGGGGCCAATCCCAGGACCTTGAGATCACCTGAGTAGAAGGCTGATGCTTAACTCACTGAGCCACCCAGGTGCCCCCAGATAGACTTTTTTTTTTTTTTTAAACTTATTTATTTTAATGGTTTATTTTTTTTTTTTTTAGGATTTTATTTATTCATGAGAGACAGAGTGGCAGAGACACACAGGCAGAGGGAGAAGCAGGCTCCATGCAGGGAGCCCAACGTGGGACTTGATCCCGGGTCTCCAGGATCACGCCCTGGGGCCGAAGGCGGCGCGAAACCACTGAGCCACCCAGGCTGCCCCTGATAGACAGACTTTAATATTTCTGTCACAAAGCATGGACGTTCTGTCTATATTAAGTGACTTCATAATCTGAATGAGGTATTTTATTATTACTTTTAAATTTTATTGATTTATTTTTTTAAATTTTACATATATATATTTAATTTATGATAGTCACACACATACACACACAGAGAGGCAGAGACACAGGCAGAGGGAGAAGCAGGCTCCATGCACCGGGAGCCCGGTGTGGGACTCGATCCCGGGTCTCCAGGATCGCGCCCTGGGCCAAAGGCAGGTGCCAAACCGCTGCGCCACCCAGGGATCCCTATCTTTTTAAATTTTATTTTTTAAAGTAAGCTCTACGCTCAATGTGGGACTTGAACCTGGGACCCTGAGGTCAAGTCACATGCTCCACTAACTAAGCCAGCTGGGCACCCCCTGAATGTGAAGTATTTTAAATGTATTTTATAACATCAGATTAAATGTAACCTTAATGTACTTAAAAAACTGTGAGTTAATGTTTTTACAGTGACAGAGCTGTAGCTTTGTTTTGGGACATAGTTGTATGACTATAATTCATATGTCACACAGTTCACCCACTTAAAATGTACAGTTGAGGGCAGCCTGTGGTTTAGCGCCGCCTTCAGCCCAGGGTGTGATCCTGGGGACCCAGGGTCAAGTCCCATGACAGGCTCCCTGCATGGAGCCTGCTTCTCCCTCTGCCTGTGTCTCTGCCTCTCTGTCTCTCATGAATAAATAAAATCTTAAAAAAAAAATGTACAGTTGAGTGGGTTTAGATACGTCCATGGGGTCATGCAACCATCTCCACGATCAATTCTAGAACATTCTCATTACCTAACATAAACCCTGCACCCCTTAGGCATCATCCTCAAAATATTATCTATCCCCACAGCCCTGGGCAACTACTAATCTATTCTGTGTCCATATAGATTTGCCTGTTCTGGACATTCCATATCAGTGAACTATAAATGTGGTCATATGTGACTGGATTCTTTCATACAGCATGTTTCAAGGTTTATCCATGTTATAGAATGTATCAGCGCTTCATTTCCTTTAATGGTAATACTCCACTGTATGGATTGACCACATTTTCTTTATTGATTCATTAGCAGATGGACATTTGGATTGTTCCTTCTTAAGAGTTAATTTAAAAATGTTAATTAGTAATTGGCTCCAGGGGAGCCTGGCTGGTTTGGTTGGAAGAGCGTTTGACTCTTGATCTCAGGGTAGAGAGTTTGAGCCCCACAATGGATGCAGAGATTACTTAGACAAATATTTTAAAAAATTAAGAAAACCAATTGGCTCCAGATAAAGGAAAATAGCCACATGTTGTGGTAAATAAAAGGCTGAGAAAAAATGGCTATCAATTACACAGGTAACTGGTAAAAAAGCAGCAGCTCAGGATGCCTGGGTGGCTCAGTGGTTGAGTGTCTGCCTTTGGTTCAGGTCATGATCCTGGGGTCCTGGGATTGAGTCCCGCATCAGGCTCCCTGCAGGGAGCCTGCTTCTCCCTCTGCCTGTGTCTCTGCCTTTGTGGGTCTCTCATGAAGAAATAAATAAAATCCTAAAAAAAAAAAAAAAAGCTCAGGGAGAGAGGCCAAGAGGTGCCGTCGGAATTAACAGGAACATGAACTCAAAACCAGAACGACTGGGATTTTATGAATCTTCCTGAACTACTTGCAGCTGCACTGGTCACTTGAACTCAGGCCTTTTGACACCTGGGGGCTGCTGTGCATGGGTGTCCCCTCAGTGTGTGCGGGGCATCTACTACTGTAGGAGAGGCAGTTTCACTCTCCAGCAGCATGAGGCCATATTTCTGTTCTCCCTTGAACCCGGGCTGTGAGAGCTGGGGGGGGGGGGGGGGGGCGGGTACCTAAACTTAGCCAATTGGATCATCCTGCCTGGGGCTTTAAGCCTGGATCAGTGACCCAGAGACACAGGAGGTCAGAGTTTTGGTGGGGACACAGCAGATGGAATGCCCACTGGCAGTGGGGCCCATGGAGGCAGATGTGGTCATGGCAGCAGTGTCCTTGACATTCTCCTCCTGGGGCAAGATTTTGGCTGTGGTTCTGTTCCCTTAGCGTGAGAAAGAATAGCCAAGGGAACTGTGGTGAAAAAAATAATGAGGCTCTAGCAGCTGTATCATTATTAAACTTTATTATGATTAAATACGATGTTGTACTTGAGTTATTTAAGAAATCTATAGTTAAAAAGAGTAAAAAATTTGAGGAGGAACATTTAGAGGTCATGAAGTTTCTCTTAGAAACTGTAACACTCTTCTTCAGAACACTTGGCTTGTTTTGGGACTCACAGCTGAATTCTTTGATTTGTTATGACCAACAGCATGGATTAACAGTTGGACCTCCACCTGCCTCTGCCCAATCTTTCTCCCTGACAACAGGGTGTGACCAAGGACTGATGTTTTATTCCTGTGTACATACAGAAACATCTGTAATAAAAGATACATGTCCATATTTATTACAATACATTAACCTCATCTTTGCCTTTTTATTTTTAAAAGATTTTATTTATTTACTATGAGAGAGAGAGAGAGAGACAGGCAGAGGGAGAAGCAGGTTCCATGCAGGGAGCCTGACGTGGGACCGGATCCTGGGTCTCCAGGATCACGCCCTGGGGTAAAGGCAGCGCTAAACCGCTGAGCCACCCAGGCTGCCCAAAGATTTTTATTTTATTCATGAGAGACACAGAAAGAGGCAGACACACGGGCAGAGGGAAAAGCAGGTTCCCTGTGGGGAATCTGATGCGGGACTTGATCTCAGGACCCCGGGATCACGACCTGAGCCAAAGGCAGATGCTCAACCACTGAGCCAGTCAGGCATCCCGTCTGCCTTTTTTGCATTGACTTTTTCATAACTCAAATGACCTTTTCTCTATCATTATAAACTAATGGCTGCTCATATACTCATCATGTCCAAATAATATTGTTTACTGGGACTAGACAGTAGGACACCCTTGAAGCAGATTCCCTTGTTCTTTCAATTATCATCCCTATTTTCAAATGTTTTTTGGTTTCTGGCAACCAGATATATATTTTCTGATTTTTCTAATTTGCATGCAGGTGCTATTAGCCTCTACTTTTTTTCCCCCCAAGATTTTATTTTTAATCTTTACACCCAATGTGGGGCTTAAAGTCACAACCCTGAGATTAAGAGTTGTATACTCCACTGACTGAGCCAGCCAGGTGTCCCTTTTAGCCTCTACTTATATTACACATTTTTCGTTAGATCTTTTAACTTTCTGTAAATGTCATAGGACAATGTTTGGCATGTAAGTAATAGGTACTAAATGTCGAGTGAACTCGCCTGAACAAACGAATCAGTTGTTTTTACAGCAAAGGGACCCATGTGAAATGATGCCACCTGAACCTCCATGTGATGACTGTGGCTGACTATTCAGTGTGAGTAAAGGGGACATCATTGGCCAGCCGCCTGGGCTGGGCCTGGGCAAACCTACTTGCATCATCAGAGGCAGTGATTAGGAGGTTAGTGAAGGTAGCTCTCCTCTTAACTCCCTACTCTTTCCTTTTGTAAGGCTAGAATTTACATCTTCTGTATAAAATGACTGCTCTGCTGTTAGGTCTTGAGTTTGAACTCCACAGGAGATATGAACAGGGTCTCTGGATATCCTTTCAGTAAGGTACACTCCTGTTGGGCAGGTAGAGCTTAGGTCATATCAGCTTGGAGGCTGCCCAGGAGTCTAAGGATAGCTGGCTGCCTTAGGGCTGCTGGGCCATTCCTTGTTCACTCTGCTACAGGAGAAGAGAAATGTGGTACCAAGCTTGGGGTCATGTACATGTGCCTACTATGTCAACGCAGATCTCCCAAGTCCAGGATTGCATATCCAGATTGGAAATGAATGGCCAGAGCGGAAAACACACACAGTGCCATTATACTCTTTATTAGTCTGGGTAGATTGCTCTCCACTTGCTCTCACTCCTCCCAAACATACTTACCATACTTCCAATATTCTATTTATCACCATTCTCAATTTTATGTTCAAGGTATATTTGTTGAAATCATACTAAATTACCACAGCTTTCGTAACTGGGAAGAACTATGAAATAAATGCTGATGTCTGAGTGCCTACTCTATGCTAAGCATGGTTTTTGGCATTTCACACACATTAACATAATTATCAAGACAACCGTAACAGGTATTTGCCTACCTTAGTAGATGAGGAGACAGAGACAGAGAGAATGAGTAACATGCTCTAGTCCTATGTTTGAATCTAGATGCCACCAAAACTCTCTTTAACCTTCTAGTAGTTACCAGAGTATGAATGTTGATAATTTGTAGAATCACTGTGAAGCTAAAATCTGGGTAGTAAAGAAACTGTCAATAATCAGAGGGGGATGTTTAATAATATTTCAAAGCAGAAAGTACACTATCCCTCAGAGCTGAGAGCTACACACAAATTTTATGACACTAAATTATGCTTAGGATAATTAGCATAGAGAAGTCTCAATTCAAACCAGTACAGATACATAATACAGGGCAAAGATATTAACTTAGTAGTCTTGTTGGTTAACTCTTCAAATGCTAGAGAACATATAACTACAAAAAATGGAGGTGGTTAACATTAAGAAGGACAAAGAGCTTTGGTATCTATCTGGCTGAAAGTGAAAGGAATTCTGAATGACCAACTTGATTTTGAACAAGAAGGTCTGGAACAGGTAAACCCTGAAAGACCACTGGAAGGGACACACACAGGTCTTAGATAGGCTGCACCAGTCTTGTTTTAACAAATCTCTGTTCATTAAAAAAAAAAAAAAAAAAAAAGGCCAGAGGTGAAGGTGAGGGCCTCTTTTTTAGCAGCTGTTCTTCTCAGCTGAGTCCATGATAAAACTCACCATGCAAATACCTTTTGTTCAGACTTTGTTCAGAATTGGCCCTATTCCTGAATTGGGAGGTTTCAATCCTCTGTGACCCAACGGATCTTGCCATTTTCTCCAAGCCTTATAGCTCCACTGGCTACCAGCTGGAGGGCTGCAGGAAATATTTTATGCTCTGCTAATTTCACTCTTTCCGACAGAGTTGCAACAGTGTCACCTCTCTTCACTGGAACAGATTCTTGTAAAATAATTTGTCCAGCATCTACATCTTCCTGGAGAGGGAAGCAGAAATTTTGAACATTACTTTCTAGCTAGTACATATAGATACTAATAATATTTTGTTAGAAAGAGACATACTCACAGCTACAAAGTGCACAGTACACCCAGTGACTGTGACCCCAGCTTCCAGGGCTTGCTCATGGGCATTTGAACCCTTAAAAGAAGGGAGCAAGGAGGGGTGGATGTTGAGCATCTTCCCTGGAAATTAATAAAAACACAGTGGTCAGAATTTTAAAATCCTGTGTACTCTACCCAAGGAATGTTTTCCATCTAGAATCAGGAGTCAGGAGGAGCAGGATTTCTCTGGGATGGGTGTTTCTTTGTAAAAGACAGAAATGAAGTAAAGGGAATATAGGTTTTCATCCAAGAGGCCCGGAGCAGCAAGTTCCTGCCTTTCACAACTGAAGACACATGCAACAACTCTGAATAGGTGCTTGCAGTGACTGAAAGTTGGACAAGAGGGGGATCAACTGTGGATCACAGAGCTCTCAAAGAAAATTTGGCCTGTCACTAGTACATCCTATTAGGGAGTGACAGGAGATTCTCGCACGGTGTCTATGTGCTTGACTTCGAACTACGAAGTGGCATGTCCACTGGCAAGATACTAGTTAGTTCCGTGTGCATTGCCAGTTTTATATTATCCATAGGTATTCTATCTAACTATGTTCACTTAAGAAAAAAACATAAACTCTTTGGAAAGAGAATCATTTATCACCAAAACATGTGCACAAAAAGGGACAATAGGATGTAGTCAAACTTTTAGTGGAAAGGGCAGGAACACGGGCAGCCCAGGTGGCTCAGCAGTTTAGCGCCGCCTTCAGCCCAGGGCGTGATCCTGGAGACCCAGGATCGAGTCCCACGTCAGGCTCCCTGCATGGAGCCAGCTTCTCCCTCTGCCTGTGTCTGTGCCCTTCTCTCCCCCCTCTCTGACTAAATAAAATCTTAAAAGAAGAAAGAAAGAAAAGGCAATAATACAAGGCATGTTTTCCAGAGAAATAATGCCTTCCTTGCCATGTGTGCTATGGTCTACACTTCCTAAGGAAAAGATGGACTCTTCATTTTGGGATTCAAGGAATCACTTTCTTTTGCTTCTAAACAAGTAAAAATGTATCTTCTGAATATGAAATATTAGTAATGTGAGTAACCTAATCTCCTAAGCTGTATTAGAGAAAACGATTAATTACAGTAGGCCAAAGAAAACTGATAAAAAGAGCAGGATAATTAATGATCATTGGGTCATCCTCTGAGCTGAGGAAAGGAAATTAAATTATGACCTGTGTTAAAATGGCCCAGTAAATATTTAATTGGGATTGTTTGGGAAGCTAACGACCCTGTAGCCTGCATTCAGTTGATTTCTCAATGTGGTGTCACGTAATTTTTGCTTACCATCCCATTTTCTGACAAAGGGGCCAGATAAAATTCTCATGAATCCTGCAAGACAGACTATGTCTGTGGAATACTCTTCAAGGACTTGGTCAATGGCAGTGTCAAATTCTACACGACTTTTATATAATTTATGGTTGATTACCTGTAATAGAAAAAGATAAGCACAATCTTTTCAATGAATTACCAAAAATGATTTAAAACTCAATCTGTACATTGACTGTACCTTCCTTCTTTCTCATGAAGATACACCTGATAAAAGGAATTAAACATGGGAAGGATGAAGTAGAAAGGCAAGCCTAGCATATACCCCAATCCAGAAATCCAAAAAATAAGTTGTCCTACAGATGGAGGTCTTGTTGGAGGGAGGGTGGGAGGTTTGAGTTTGTTTATTTATTTATTTATTTATTTATTTATTTATTTATTTATTTATTTATTTATTTATTTATTTTTTATTTTTTGGAGGTTTGAGTTTAAATACAATCTGCAGGGCAGCCCCGGTTGCTCAGCGGTTTAGTGCCTCCTTGAGCCCAGGGCATGATCCTAGAGACCCAGGATCGAGTCCCATGTGGGGCTTCCTGCATGGAGTCTGTTTCTCCCTCTGCCTGTGTCTCTGCGTCTCTCATGAATAACTAAATAAAATCTTAAAAAAAAAATTTAATAAATACATACATACACACATACAATCTGCAGGAAAGACACTTTTCAAAATAACTCACTCTGGTGGGAATTCCAGCTCTTTCCGCTTTATCTAAACCAGCCACTGCAGCTTTGTTGGAGATAACAACAACAATGTGTGCACAGCTACTGGGCTCCCTAGTACTGTCTATAAGAGCTTGCAGGTTTGATCCTGAAAGAGAGAGAAACATATTCGTAAGTTCACGTTTCTTAAAAAAAAAAAAAAACAAAAACGTTCTATTTTGCATTGTGAATGGTCAAGATTTCTGAATAAATGTCTTAGAAAAGACTGGCAAAACACGTGAAGCTTTTAAATTTCCTTTCTCTCGGGATAATGGATTAATAGCTTATTAAAATGTAGGCACTCCTGGTTTGAGGGTATGTAATTGGCTCCTGCAAAATCATATCTCATGACCAAGAAGAGTAATAGTATATAACATGATTTAAAAACTGACTGGGGGGGGGCGATCCCTGGGTGGCTCAGCGGTTTCGCGCCTGCCTTTGGCCCAGGGCGGATCCTGGAGTCCCGGGATTGAGTCCTGCGTCGGGCTCCCGGCATGGAGCCTGCTTCTCCCTCTGCGTGTCTCTCTGCCTCTCTCTCTCTCTCTATGTCTATCATAAATAAATAAAAATAAATCTTTAAAAAAAAAGAAAAAGAAAAAAAAAAAACTGACTGGAGGGCAGCCTGGATGGCTCAGTGGTTTACCACCGCCTTCAGCCTAGAGTGTGATCCCGGAAACCCGGGATCGAGTCCCACATCAGGTTCCCTGCATGAAGCCTGCTTCTCCCTCTGCCTGTGTCTCTGTGCCTCTCTCTCTCTGTGTGTCTCTCATAAATAAATAAATAAAACTTAAAAAAAAAAAAAACTGACTGGAGGCTCAGTATGCCTTTGGCTCAAGTCACAACCGAGTCAGGCTCCCTGCTCAGCAGGGAGTCTGCTTCTCCCTCTGCCCCTGCCCTCTCATGCTCTCTCAAAGAAATAAATAGTATCTTAAAACAAACAAAAAAAAAACCTGACTAGAGAGGAAGAGGCAGCTTAATTAACAACAAAAATCAACTCTTATTTTTTTTAATTTTTTGCTTTTCTCTCAAAATTTTTATTTTTTGTTATTCTTCATTTTAAAAATTTATTTTATTTAAAAATTTTTTAAAAGATTTTATTTATTTATTCATGAGAGACACAGAGAGAGCGAGAGAGAGAGAGAGAGAGGCAGAGACACAGGCAGAGGGAGAAGCAGGCTCCATGCAGGGAGCCTGATGTGGGACTTGATCCCGATCCCGGGTCCCCAGGATTATGTGCCAGGCCGAAGGTGGCGTTAAACCGCTGAGCCACCTGGGTTGCCCCATTTTTAAAATTTAAATTCAATTAATTAACATATAGTATAAGTTTCAGAGGTAGAGGTCAGTGATTCATTGGTCTTCCATAACACCCAATGCTCATTACATCACATGCCCTCCTTAATGCCCATCACTTAGTTATCTTACCCCCACCCCCAATCTCTTTTCTAAGATTTTATTTTTTAAAGCAATCTCTATACCCAAGGTGGGGCTTGAACTTCCAACCCTGAGATCAAAAGCCACATGCTTTACTGAGTCAGCCAGGTACCCTGAAAAATCAACCCTCTTAAGAAGAAAGCACTATGACCCTTATAATAGCTTCTTTGCTTTACCATCAACTTGGGCCCAAAGTATATTGAAACTTTAACATAGACTTGGAAAGCAAGTACACTTCCAGGAATGTATCCTAAAGGAATAATCAGATATACACCTAGAAATGTACTGCATATTTTACAAAAATGTTTACAACGTTACTTACAATAGTGGGAAAAATAAACATGCTATCATGCTATCTCCATTTCTTTTATTTTTTATTTATTTATGATAGTCACACAGAGAGAGAGAGGCAGAGACACAGGCAGAGGGAGAAGCAGGCTCCATGCACCGGGGGCCCGACGTGGGATTTGATCCTGGGTCTCCAGGATCGCGCCCTGGGCCAAAGGCAGGCGCTAAACCGCTGTGCCACCCAGGGATCCCCGCTATCTCCATCTCTTAAGAGAATATGATGATCTTATTTTACCCCCCCCCATCCACAAGGCAACCATAAATTTCATATTATTATTAAAAAAACCCTCAGCTGTTTTAAGACTTTTCAACTAGAAAGCTAGGATACGAAAATTGGATTTTGTCTTTTCTGGTTTCTGTTTCTTCAAGTGTCTTCCTGATACCCTCTTCTCTTCTTTAGGTGTCTCAGAAGCCCCCCAAAAGTGGAAAGACTGAGGACACAGAATAACACTTCTTACTGACCCCCCTGCTCTGCCTTCCTGACAGTGTCCTCACAATCTGAAGGAGGCTGGGGAGAAGGGAGAAGGAAAGGGCATTTCTATAGCCTCATAGTAAAGAAGGCACATCTCACCTGTTCCAGATATTAAGACAGCCACTCTTGCCTTTTTTGGTTGAACAGAGAAATGATTTTTCAGGGTGCCATTCTCCAATACTGACCCATTTATTTGCATAGTTTCTATCAGATGCCTGACTTTCACACGAGGAGAACCTGCATTTCAAACACACCCAACAAATAAGAATGGAACAACGGTGAATTAACAGTAATAATGGAAAGCAAAGTATTTTATGAGAACTTGAGAATACTTTATTCTGAAAATAAGATCTACAAGGACTAAAATGAAGAACAGGCTTTACCACTTAATTTTATTCACTCATAAAAACTTCCTGATAGAGAACATGTATAATTACCTACTTCCACTAAAAGCCACAGGACGGCACTATCTCCTGGCCTGAGGAAAGGCACGTGACCCAAGTGGGGCCATTCAAGGATTTGATACGAGAGGATGTGGAAGATGAGAGGGCCTCTCTTTCCTATTGCAACATGAGCTCAAGGATGTGGACTCAAGACATCCTGGCATTTGGAGAACTGGCCTGAAAATGAAACCTATACAATAAAGGAACGAAAGGCAGACACAGACATAATCGGCAAGCCAGCATCTCTGTTCACTAATTGAGTTAGCCACGCTGCTAACTTCTAGTACTTCTAACAGAGTCCTAAGTATACACAGCACTTGTCAGGGTGCTCCCCTCACTACTCCCTGAATTGAGCTGAATTACAAAGTAGAGCCTGAGACCAGGTCCTGCTCATGGGAAGATGACTCTGGGAAGTGATCCCAGGAAACCAGAGTGAGGATCTGGGAAGAGTGATATGGAGAGCCAAATATAAGAGTGTGTTATTAAACTGGTCACCCCGTATGCAACTGGGGCTTGATTCCACTGGGACTTTCAAAAAACCCATGAAGACCCTGTCTCAGAACTGTTACCTTCTGTCCCTAAAGTGGATATTTATTCACTCTATTGGTTAAGGCTTGTCCTGTAGGGTGTAGTTGTGCATACGTGACGACTACACGGAGGTGTCAGAGCCCTAAGGCAGAAATAAAGAGAAATGTGGTGTTATGAGCTGGGGTTGTTGTCATATTATAGCTGTGTAAAGGCAGCTGCTATAGCCATAGCTAGAATAAAAGGTGGGCACAGCTGCAGAGGCAGGGCAGAGTTATAGTTCAGGTTATATACCTAAGAGCAACTACACAAGGAGCAATTACCTTCAGGACATGCCACCACTTTGCCAATCGCCCAGGCTTCTTCCTTGTGCTGCTTAATATCCTTCAGAATCTGCTCCGTCAGATCCTTTGATACCACGAGGGCAGCCCCAACTCCACAGTTAAATGTTCTCGCCATCTCTTCTTCAGAGAGGTGTCCTTCCTGCTGTAGCCATGAAAAGATCCTGGGGACCCTCCAGCTTTGGGCATCTGAAAACAGGCAAGCATTGTCTGATTAACCTATTGTCTCTATAATGTATGCACATATATAAAGCTGTGGAGATAACAAGCAGTACTGCTACTTTATATAAGGTAAAACTATATGTTGGCCTTTCACAATTTTGGAGGGGGGGATTCATTTGTACCGAAGATATCAAGAACATTTTTGCTGACACACTTGGCCAGTATTCACTATTAAGTGAGGTCTTGTACTGCATCAAGTAACTAGATTCTTAGGAATTCCCTAATGGGGAATTGTTACCAGCTGAATTCCAGTAAAGGTGTGAGAATGTTAAGCTGGGTCTTAGCAATAACAAAATGCACTCTAGGTGTGATGCAAAACTAGGTGGCTTATGTTATAGACTTAGAGAAAACGTATCCACTATTTTAAAAAAGTCATACAATTTATAAAAGATTAAAATCAAAATATGCCCGACCATATTTACTTTATTTTTTTTAAAAGGTTTTATTTATTTGAGAAAGAGAGAGGACATGATGGTGGTGGTAGTTGTGGTTGGTGGGGGGGACCACAGAGAGACAAGCAGACTCCCCATTGAGCACGGAGCCCAAAACAGGGCTTAATCCTAGGCCCTGAGATCACAACCTAAGCCAAAATCAAGAGTCAGACTTTTTTTTTTTTTTTTTTTTTTGTTAAGAGTCAGACTTTTTAACTGACTGAGCCACCACCCCTTAATGTATTTACTTTAAAATTTAGATTTAGGTCTGTTATAATACAACAAAAAACTTTAATAAAATTTTTAAAGATAAAGGCATAAACACAACACATTTATACTTGGATAGTTCTTTGGAATCTATAAGTTATGGGATCTGAATTGGAAAATAATTAAATATTTTCTTATGCTCATAAAATAGGGAAGCCACTGTGAAGCTAGATTTTTTAAAGAAATTATTTTTTTAAAGATTTATTTATTCATGACACACACACACACACAGAGGCAGAGACACAGGTAGAGGGAGAAGCAGGCTCCATGCAAGAGCCTGATGGGGAACTTGAATCTGGGACTCTAGGATCAGGCCCTAGGCCGAAGGCAGGCACTTAACCGCTGAGCCACCCAGGGATCCCCAAAGATAGTTGTTTCTTTATTTTTATTTATTTATTTTTTAAAGTAAACTCTACCCTCAACATGAGCCTTGAATAAACTCACACCCCACAATCAAGAGTCAGGTACTCTACTGTCTGAGCCAGCCAAGTGCCCTGTATAATCAGTTCTTTAATGCTCTAGAGTTGATTAAAATTTTTAAAAAGCATCAAATGTCTATGAACCTTCTCCTCTATCATATTTAATTTCATTTCTTCTAGCTGGGAAATGTCCATTCTTAAAAGCTGAGCTCAAAATATTTAGCTACTATGATGTTCACTGTGGTATCAATAGTCTAAAGTCAAAAGCAACATAAACCAAATAGTGGTATATGCATCAAAAAAAAAGGAATACTTGCCTCAAAAATGATACTATTATGACAGCTGGATATTGATGATACATTAAATGGCAGGGCTACAAACTATGATTTCATTTTAGCAAACTCATTTAAAGTATTTGTAAGCAAACAAATACTGACAGGCTAAGAGCCTAGTTTCTACAAATGAACAGACAAGTCATGAGTAATGTAACCAGCTGCAACTTTAATGCTGAAAATTGTTTACTTAAATCTATTGTCCAACTAGGATTCATGCAAGAAACCTCAGAGGCTGATGTAAGGGCCTAACTCCTTTTTACTGGGACATGGACATTTGTGTGACTCAACCACAGTGGCTATTTGGGAATATGGCGGTATCAACTCTAAATCATGACCTATTTCTGACTTTGGATTCTCTCAGCTCCATGTATTCTGACTCTACTGTTGGCTCTGCAAATCTACTCACCTGTACCCACAGCTGCTTCCCCTCACAAGTGACCCCTCCACTTGGCCAGCCAACTGGATCAAGCCAATCAATTTTTTTTATTGTTGCTTGTGTTTCAAGGTGACACAGTTCTTACTTTGGAAGAAAAATCACACAACCACCTCCACCTTCAGTACTGCTTGTTGTCTCATTCTTGTTTCTGATCTAGTCTACCTTATTATTTACTTCTTTCCTCAAGCCCTCACTCAGACTGCTGATCTCACTAAGCCCTTCTTATTTCACTGGGAAAAGGGAACACTTTATGTGAACTTCTATGGTTTCTATTTTCTCAAACCCATCTATATTGGTTGGCCAAGATAGATGGAGCAGTTCCTGTCTCTTTATACTATAAAAACGGGGAGGAAAAACCTAGTTGATCATTTTGCCTTGAGTATAAGTAATAATCCCCCCTTCCCTCTTACCAATAACTTTCTTGAAATAACAACCTCTATTCACTGTCTCTAGATCTCTGTCACTCATTCCCCCCACAATCATTGGGTGGGTGGTATCTATCCTCAATGAGATGCTTTCTGAGCTGACTCTGAATTATACTGGCTTATTTCTAGTTCTTTTTTTTATTTTTTAATTTTTATTTTTTTTAATTTTTATTTATTTATGATAGTCACACACAGAGAGAGAGAGAGAGAGAGAGAGAGAGGCAGAGACACAGGCAGAGGGAGAAACAGGCTCCATGCACCGGGAGCCCGACGTGGGATTCGATCCCGGGTCTCCAGGATTGCGCCCTGGGCCAAAGGCAGGCGCTAAACCACTGAGCCACCCAGGGATCCCTTTTTTTTTTTTTTAATATTTCAAGTTCTCATCTAGGTCTCTATGCTGTACCTAACAGGACTGGCCAGTGTTGTGTTCTATTCCTTGAGTTCATGATACTTTTACATGGTTCATTCCCTGCTTCCAACTGTTGTTTTCCAGTAATTTGGCCTCTGTTGATCTTTAAAGTGGACAGAACACTGAGAAACCACTTTTAGTTGCTTCCACTCTCTTGGCTATAACTATTACTATCTGCATATGAGCACGAAACTTAACTTGTCTGATCTCAACTTGTGTTCTCAGATACCTTAAAATAAACATTGAAAATTAAAACACTATTCCTGGGGCACCTGGGTGGCTCAGCTGTTTTTTTTTTTTTTTTTTTTTTTTTTTTTTTTTTTGCTCAGCTAGTTTAATGATTGATTTTTGATTTCAGATCAGGGTCATCTCAGGGTTGTGAGATTAAGCCCTGCCTTGGGCTCCACACTCAGTACGGAGTCTGCTAGAGATTCTGTTTCCCTCTGCCTTTCCCCCCACTTGTACCCACTCATGCTCTCTTTCTCTCTAAAACACATAAATACAGGCGCCTGGGTGGCTCAGTCGGTTGAGCATCTGACTCTTGATTTTGGCCCAGGTCATGATCTCAGGGTCTTATTATCTAGCCCTGCATCCAGCTCCATGCTCAGCAGGAAGTCTGCTTGAGATTCTCTCCCTCTACCCCTTCCCTTATACTCTCGTGCTCTAAGAAGTGAATAAATCTTTTAAAAATAAAAAAATAAAATCTTTGGGAAAAAAACAAAAAACACTATTCCCACTTCCTACTCCAAATCTACTCTTTCTGCTGTGTTATGGGTGTTACCATCTACTCATTTGCTTAACTAGAAACTTGAGACTTCTTTTTCCTTGTAAGCACAAAGT